AAGAGTGAACATAATGGGTTTTCGGCCCATTTGGGTTCAAGAAGATTGTTCGCGGCCCGTAAAGGGCCATGAAAATGAAGTGAGATATTTTAGGCCTAACATGGCCCAAAAGGTTATAGTTTAATGAAAGTGGGTCCAATTAGAGTCCAAATGGAGTTCCTTGGCCTAAAATAGCTAAATTGAAAGTTTACTGGCCCATTAGGCCCAATAAGAGGATCCTGGTCCATTCTGAGTTTGAACCGGGATATTAGGGTTTCAAACCTAAAGTTGAGTATATAAGATGTATTGAGTTAGATTTTGAACTTCACGAGTGAGTTTTTGGTTCAAATGGTTGATTTTGGATAAGCATCGAGCATAATATCAACTTAAAGTTACAAATTACACAAAAGTTGAGTACATGAGGACAAAATCTCCTAGCCAAAAATGCTAGTTGTGACAACCTTCCTCAAAGGAGCTAGGGGTTGAGTCTAAGGCATATTAGATGGTCTTTGGGGGTAAAGTTGGAAACTTTACCCCTCTAGACGTCTATATGGTTAAGGATCTGTTGTATGGAGCTCTGGATTCGACTGGAAAGGACTGAATGCGCGAAGACAGGGGAAACTCGACGAGTTGGGACGGGTTTCCCTGTTTCTGGATGCAAAGCAACTCGACGAGTTGGCTAGGGTTTTCCCCGGTTTTCTGAACACCGAAGGAACTTACCTAGTTGCGGGATGCACTCGACGAATTGGGTCAACATGGACTGTTGACCTTGACCGTTGACTTTAACTTTGACTTTGACCATGGTTGACCAAGTTGGACTTTTAAGGGTCTGAAAGGTTGAGTTGTATACTAAGGATTTGTTTATGATTAGGGAGTTGGCAGAGCTGACACTCGGAGCTTGGATTTATTCAGCTACAATTTGCATTGAGGTGAGTCTCGTCACAATACCAATGGGTCGAAGGCACCAAGGTCGGCCCATTTTATGTTATGTGGTACACTAGTTGATGTAGTGATATGTGGTATGCTAGTTGGTTATATGATAGGTGGTATGCTAGTATTTATGTGATACTTGCAGGAAAGACCATGGGGGGAGCCCATAACGCTTGGATGTAAGACCATGTGGGGGAGCCCATGGCTTTTCAGGTAAATACCATGGGGGAGCCCATGAAGCTTGGATGTAAGACCACGTGGGGGGCCCATGGCTTAAAGACCATGAGGAGGAGCCCATGACACTTGGATGTCAGACCATGTGGGGGAGCCCATGGCTTTCCAGCTAAAGACTATATGGGGAGCCCATGACACTTAGGTGTAAGACCATATGGGGGATCCCATGACATCCTTGAGTAAGACCCTGGGAGGAGCCCACGACATCCTTATATGTTCGTAAGCATGGCTTATGTGGTTTATGTAGCTTTTATAGCTAATATGGATTATGTGATTATGTGGATTGTGTGGGGTATACTCTGGGGAACTCACTGAGCATTAGCTTACAGTTTGTTAATTTGTTTCAGGTACATCTGAGCCTAAGGGCAAGGGCAAGGCTTGATGGCGCAGCATGCACTCTTCGGCATTTGATTTGATGGGGCACTCTGATATTTGAAATAAAATGTTGATGTTATGGATTTTGAAAACAATTGTCATTGTTATTTCATATTTTATGGGAATGTTTTGGTTAATTAAAAATGAAAAATTTATTTGAAAATTTGGGTCGTTACAATTAACCCTTGGAACCCTCCCCATATTCAGCCTCCATCCCCCTCAACCTGAAATATCGAACCCTAGCCCCATTTATGAATATCTTGAGCCTCTTGAGCATTTGTATGAGATTTTGGTGCATCTTTAAGAAGAAGAAGCTTGGAGAAGGAGCATTGGTTGGATTGAAGCTTGTGGATCCAGAATCTATTCATCTTCACCATCTTCCAGAAGGTATAAAGTTCCTAGCTTGGTGATTCTTTTCTTAAATCTAGGAATAGTTGGGTTTTTGGGCATATTTGGTCCCATGAGTTGATTCTTGTGAGTAAATGCTACTCCAGAGGTTTTGGGTTGTTCATTTTGATGTTTTTGAGGTCCCTTATTCATAAAGTTTGCATCTTGATGGTTGTGGACCAACCATGCATGAGTTGTTGACCTCTTGGTGAAGCTAGTAGACTAGATTTGGGTTTTGGGTTTCTTGGAGCCATGCAAATGCATCAAGTTGATGACTTTATTGATTAAGACACCCATAAGAATTAGATCTGAGTTTTGGAAGTAATGTCTTAAGGGATTAAGCACTTTTAAGTGAGTTCTTCGTCATTTTGATATTTTAGAAACTTAAGTTGGGTGTTGGGCTCTATTAAGCCATGCAAAGTCATAAAGTCAAGAACGTTATGACTTTAGAAGTCCATTAGGCTTAGACTTGAGGATTTGGACATTTGGTATTAAGGGAATAAGACCTAAAAATGAAGTCTGTTGACCGATCCGTACATTGGGCGTACTCGACCATGTCACCGTTTTCTTATATGCTTAGTACGCACGGTGTAAGGGGTGGTGTACGCATATCGTACTCCTGGTTGGGGAATTTGGTCACTTTTGGGTCATTTTAGGGTTTGGACCATATATGGTTGAGTCTAGGCTTGGAGGGGTAAAACGGTCTTTTACCCAAGGAGTTGTTATTATGTAAAAGGACCCTGATTATGGATTATGATCTATTTAGTGATTGAGATTTATTTATTTGTGATTAGTGTGGGGATTTCCCGTTTCGACAGTTCAAGCGAGAAATTGGTTTGTCATCGGAGGTGAGTCTCTTCACTGTACTCATGGGTCGAAGGCACCAATGCCGAACCACTGGATTATGTTTATAGGATGATATTTGTCTTTGTGACACTTACTGTTATGCCTGTATGTGTTTGTTGTCTTCGTGACTCTTGCTGATATGATCACATGCTTAGTTGTAAGGGGTGAAATAGACCCGATACCGGTTGAAAGAGACCGAAGGGGGTGAAATAGACCAGTACTAGTTGAAAGAGACCAAAGGGGTGAAATATACCCAATATCGGTTAAAAGAGACCGAAGGGGGTGAAATAGACCCAATTATGTTTGAACTTTTATGTATGTATGGTATGAGGTATTTTGGGGAACTCACTAAGCTTTGTGCTTACAATTTATGTTTTTGGTTTCAGGTACTTCCGTTTTCGAAAGGAATGACCCAACTTGATCGCACTGTATCCCTTAGAGTTTTAATTCCGCACTGAATGTTTACAAACTACTATGATGTTTTGAGAATACTTTGACTTTGATCGTCTTCTGGAACAATGAATGAATGGTTTTGACTTATTTAAAACGAAAGTTTTATTAAGTATTTTTGGGACGTTACATGTACAACCATGACATATCTCTTAGGGAACCCTCTAGCTTCCAAGGTCCTCCAAATTATCTCATGAGATACATGATTGTACATCTTTTCGAGGTTGATGAACATTATATGGAGGTCTCTGTTTCTGTTCTTATATATTTCTCTACAAGTCATCTAAGGAGATGGATCGTTTCAATCTTAAACTAAATTGCATTCTTAGTATTTCACTAAATGAACATTTAATTAATATTGAAAACCAAGCATGTGAATACATCGTAACCAATATATTTTATATACACATCTATAAGGTTTTTTCACAAACTTTGAAAGGAGAATGAAATCCAAGATATCATTCTTGTTACAAGTATTAGACGGACAATAACAAAGATGGTTTATATATAGACCTGTCAATGGGGCGGGTTTTGACCCTGATTCGCTCCAAACCCGTAGGAATTTAACGGGTTTGGATTTTAATTTTTGATTCGTTTACCCGTTTACGATCCATACCCGTTTACCCTTTTAGTAAATGGGTCGGGTATGGATCATTGTCGATCCGCTCCACTTATGACCCGCCCCATTTAATATATATATATATATATATATATATATATATATATATATGACAACAAAATATACAACTCGATGTTTAAGTAAAATGTGATTTTTATTGTATTGGACTTTGAGTACTAATCAATGTACATCTTGTTTAAGTAGACATTTTATCTTTTTGAGAAATATTACTTTGAGGAACACATAAAAATTATGAAAATTTAATATTATAAAAGGGTCGGGTAGTCGTTGATTCGGTGGATACGAGTATGGATTCGACTATTCAAGACACTGAGGGTTATTGGAGCGGGGCGGGTCATGTTTTTATTTTTTTTAAACGAGTTTGGATCAAGGGTGATTCGCTCCAAACCCGCCCCATTGACAGGTCTATTTATATATTTATTTGGATTTATAAAGTTTTCCATGCTTTCCACATGAAACTCAAGAGATATGATGATACTTGATTGTTTTTATACAAAACTTCCAAAATCAATGTTAGATATAATACATTAAAAACGATGGTTATATTTTTGTATGCGAAATTATAATATCAAATATGCATCTTTTGCCATATAAAATACAATTTAAATGCTAAAAAATACAAGACATCTTAACATTTCACCAATGAATGCAACTTATTTTGTTAACCATGATAAACTTTTCATTTATGTAAAATTTACTAAAATTTGATAGAAACCTACAAGTTTATTATGTTAAATAATTAAAAACAATATGCTACATAAGTTACAACATCATTCAAACGTCTTGATTTCTTTTATATTGCTACGGTTGCCATGTAGGGGCGTAGCTAAGCTTCAAGAAGGTAGGTCCTAGGACCTACTTTTTTTTTTTTAAATACAACAAATATATATAGAAAATATGAAGGAACTATCTCATTTTTGCTAAAAGACCTACCTATTTTTGCTAAAAGACCTACCTATTTTAGTTTTATTTACATAAGGAACCATGTGGTTTTTGGTTCTAGATTCGACACTGTTGCCATGCTTATGATCTTGAGAAAAGAAAATATTTATCAAAGAAAAGACCTAAAAATGACAAGAAAGAAACTTGGTTGCTCAAAATAATAACGCTTGAAAAGTATAATGCTCAACTCATAAATCGCCATTTGCCTTAAAAGATCAACAAGTCAAAAAAGGAGAAAACATTTATTTGGGTGTGCTTCGACTACTCCGAAAAATTGTTCAAGAAGAAAACCCAGCATACACACACACCAACACCATCAGCTCAACCAGAAATTCCAAAAACACCACCTTCGTGCATGCTCATCTATGGCCTCTATATTACCATCTAACATCCTCATTGTTTCATCAACAACAGTAATTAGCTCAAAAAACTAAACGATTTCCAGTTTTCTTCTCATAAATCCATCGCAGATTCTGTTTATTTGCTGGGTTAATGGCAAATGCATCCTGGGGTTTCACTCCTACAGTTCCTCATCTTGATCGAACGAGGATATTTCCATCTATAACCATTTTTCGATCTGGGTTTTATTCCACTGATCGAATTTCCAAGAGGGTATCCTGCGCAAGTACTGCTAATGGTGCTGATAAGCTATCCCCTTCCGAATCTCGCTCCCCTAGGTACTTCTTCTCTTATGATTGAATTATTTTTAGGTTATTCTATATCTATCAAATATCAATGCCTCTCTTATACTTGTACTTGTTAGTTTGTGGGTATTTGTGTATTTGCTGTGTTGTTTGTTGTGTGTCTGTGTGTCTGCAGCTCCTCTTTTCCATAGATTTTGAATGTTGAATCACTGAAAAATAGCGTAATTATCTTTCTTCACCATTCTATACACTAATCAGGGTCGCTGAAAGAGTAGACTATTTTTCCCCACAAAAAAGAACAACATAACTGTGGTGCTTGCTTTCGCATCATGATTAGTGTATAAAAGGGTGATCTTGGTGCATGAAAGGGCTTTGCAATGATTAAGGAGGAAAGTCAGAGAGCTTTTTATCAGATCATTGCATTAAAGTCTGCATTTTAGCATTTGATTGTGCAATTCATGTAAAGAAATCAAATGTCTAAGTTTCTTGCAAACTCTGTTTTGCCTTCCTTGTGGATCTTTATTATACTATAAGAAGTTGATGGTATTCAAGTGTCTTTGATATATTTGCTCATTGAATATATATAATATAAAAGGTGGATGGTATTACTTTGGAATTTGGATCATGTATCCATAAGATTCTCTTATTTTGTCATTACTGAAGTATCTCATAATACTATTTATTCTCTTAATTCTTTTTCAGGGTAGTTGGAAAGGGTTGCAAGTTAGTTGGATGTGGTTCTTCTGTACCTAATCTTCAAGTTTCTAATGATGATCTTTCTAAAATTGTTGACACAAATGATGAATGGATATCTGTTCGAACTGGAATCCGTAATCGCCGAGTTCTTACAGGTTGTTTTTTTTTTTTTACAAATTTGTCCTCATTTATTTTTTCAAGTTTCCCATGAAGTTGATGTTAATCTCAATTGTTCATAAACAGGAAAAGATAGAATGACAGGATTGGCTATTGAGGCAGCTCAGAAAGCCCTAAAGATGGCAGATGTTGATCCTGATGATGTGGATTTAGTCCTGTTATGCACATCAACCCCTGATGATCTTTTTGGTAGTGCACCTCAGGTCTTACTTCATCAAACTTTAATCTCAAAAAAGTAGAAAAAATGAATCTTAATGTGACATATCCCAAAAAGGAGATTTGTTTCATTTTGACTCTTTTTCATGTGTCAGATACAAGCAGGACTTGGGTGTAAGGGAAATCCATTGGCTTTTGATATCACAGCTGCTTGTAGTGGATTTATATTGGGTCTAGTTTCAGCTTCTTGTTATATCCGAGGTTATTATTATTATTATTTTTTAATTAAATTAAATATGCTCAATGTTTTGATAATTTTTATTAAATTTTAAATGTAGGTGGTGGATTTAGAAATGTTCTTGTGATTGGAGCAGATGCTTTGTCTCGTTATGTTGATTGGACAGATAGAGGGACTTGTATTTTATTTGGTGATGCTGCTGGTGCTGTATTACTTCAGGTTATATTATAGCAATGTACTTTTTTTTTTTTTTTTTTTTTTTTTTTTAAAAATTTGTGTATTATAGCATGTGAAAGTAAATTTACTTTTTTTTTTAAAATATTGTTATGTGAGATTAATTGTTGCAACTTTTTGCAGGCATGTGAAAGTGAGGAAGATGGGATGTTTGGTTTTGATTTGCACAGTGATGGTGAAGGCAACAGGTTCTTCCTCCATGAAATTTCATATATTTATTGTAACAAATAGTTCAAACTAAAATTTACCTATTTGCCCATTGTTAATTGTTGGTGAACAAATAAAAGATATCGTTTTTTTCTTTTTCAGACATTTAAATGCGAGCATCAAAGAGAATGAAACAGAGGATTTATTTGGTACAAATGGCACAATCCCGGGATTTCCTCCAAAGAGTTCGTCTTATTCATATGTCCAAATGAATGGTAAAGAGGTGTTTAAGTTTGCGTGTCGGGTGGTCCCACAATCAATCGAGTTGGCTCTACAAAATGCCGGGTTGACTCGGTCTAGCATTGATTGGTTATTGCTCCATCAGGTATACCGAATAAACCGTCTGAATTAGACTAAATGACCATTTTACCCTTACATTCCCAAAAAAAATTCACGATATTCATCACTTTTAACGTGAATGGTACAAAGATTGTGATTTCGGGTCCCACGGACCATTAAAGGTTGACGAGTGAGTGAGGGAAATGATTCTCTCTCAAATTTAATTTGTTGTGTGTGTAAAAGACGTAAATGCCCTCATCATTAATTATACAGGCGAACCAGAGAATCCTTGATGGGGTTGCAACGCGTTTAGAAATCCCGACGGAACGAGTGATATCGAACTTGGCAAACTACGGAAACACGAGCGCGGCTTCGATTCCGTTGGCGTTAGATGAAGCGGTGCGGAGCGGGAAAATCAAATCCGGGGAAACAATTGCTGCTGCGGGATTTGGGGCTGGTCTTACATGGGGTTCTGCTATTATTAGATGGAACTAAAAAAACTAAATATTCAACTTATAACAACATTTTACATGCTTCACTTGTCTGTCTATTATAATGTCTTTTATTTTATTTTATTTTATTTCTTTTTTGGGTTTGAGTTTTGTTCTATTGTAGTTATGCTGTTTAAAGGTGAAGAAGAGTTGAGGTTCCATTCTTAAGGATATGTTTTTTTTTTTTTTTTTGCTGATTGTTTGTTTTAATTTGAAGTGGGTTTTACTCAATGTTGGTCAATTTAGAAACGAAAAAACTGTCATAAAAACTTTTCATGGACCATATCCATCAAAATGAACAAACCATGAGGCCAAAACTATAACTTTACCCTGCAGTATATCATAAATATATATACATCAAAAGTCAAAACAAGTATACATTTTTTTATATATATTTATAAATAAAACATACAAATGAATCAAATCAACCTATTCCACTTCCCAACAATCAAACTCATGTCAATTTTGTCGTTCATTCTCATTCCAATTGCTTTAACATATTTCGTTCATTCCAAAGATGAGCATAGTCTAAAATATTGTATCCATCATAATAATAATATATCAAAAGTAAAAACAGTTGAAAATAATGTCTGAAATTCAAGTCTTGTTAAAATGAGCGTACTCTTAGTCTTTTACCATGATTCATATAAAAAAAATAAAACATACAGTCTAGTATAAATTGGTCTAAAATATTATATCTATCATATCATCTTTTACTTCAAAGGATACAATCAAAACAAAAACATGTTTTCAGATTTTAATGCCTTCGACCTTTGGATTCGCTTTTTGAAGCCATAACCCCTGAAATCTGGTTTACCTCATACAATATCGCAGCCGAGAATAAAAAGCTGTGTAAAAATTAAAAAAATTCATATCAATTTCAACAAATAATTTGTATCTGATTATCAATTACTAGATTTAGTAATCCATATAAAAAATATATATAATAAAAAAAGTGAGATAAGCTACCAAGTTGTTATACAAACTCGATGCACAGTGCCAGCAGCAACAAGAGCAACAGCTTCAGCTAGAATAACTGCAAATGAAAAAAAATAAAAAATCATGAAGTTTTATTTATCCATAATAGCAATGTACTTATATCCTTTTTACCTATAGTAATAACATACTTACATTTCTTTACCACTAATAGCAACGTGCTTTATTTTTTATCCATAATAAGTTGATTAATAACAATGTACTTCATTTTTTACCCATAATAACAACATACTTATAAATAATATAATGCTGTAAAAATGCATGTACATTGCTATTATAAGTAAAAAACAAAGTACATTGCCTATATCAGTAAAAAGAGAAAAATAAATTGCTTAATGTATTCAGAGTTCTTGGAAGCAGGTAAGAAGTTAGAAGGCTAATATCAAGTCACCTGCACCCCATCCAGTTTTAACCCCAGAAGTTTCCTGGAAATTTCCAATGAACTGTAAAAAGGGGAAAGACAAAGTTAAGCACTTTATCATCATCAATTATGTAGTAAGAATTTATATTCACATTTGTGAGTATGTTTTGGAAGTAAAATAAGTAATGTAAGCAAGTTAAAGTGCAAGTTTTGATTAATTATGTAATATCAAAGTTGGACACTCATAACACGAAAGAGTAAAAGGACCAAAATTGCCAAGTGGATAAAATGTAGATATACTTTTGGAATTGGTGAGTAAAAGAGTTGAAATTTTGAAATATTGGATAAATGAATCTATAGTGTGACTATATGGCTTCTATCAAGATAGCTAAAAACACTGTTCATCATGTCAAACAAGATTACCAAACAATTTATAATTTCATTATCAAAAAGAGATCACAAAACCAGCTACATGAGCAATTGAGCATGAAGACAATTATTGCACAAATCCAATGAAAGGTAATGGTTATGTCACCATATTCATTTTGGTGTTTAAAACCAAACAAAAACAAAAATCAAATCCACAATTTCGCCCTTATCAAAGAGCTCCAACATATGAATTAGTGCATGGATGCATCATTGCAAATTACAAAAGATTTTCAAAAGCATGAAAGTGTTGATAGATAAGACTGAACTCACAGTTAGTAAGAAAAGAAACACAAGTGAACTGGTGAATCCTCCAAGTATGGTGAACAGTTCTGATGATGCTAACTTCCCTCTATACATTTCTTGCAGTGAGAGAGTAACAACAAAGAGAAGAAGAGAATATAGCATTGAATTCCCAGCTTCGGCCATTGGCTTCAAAGCATTAAAACAACAAAAACAAATATCATTAGAACATGTTTGTCCCAAATCACACTTGTTATAATTTATAAAACAATAATTATTACAAAATCGGGAGCTACTTAAAGCATACAGCACCAAGGAGCAGTTTCAAGAGCTCAATTTCACTTTTGAAGGACAAAACTTGTATCGTCATTTAGATCAAGAAGACTATTAATCAAACATACGGCATTTAAGATTTTACAACTCAAAACGCACAAAAATTTGTTGGAGATGAAGCATAATATTCAGCATGACAGATCAGTGTGTTCGCGAACTTAGCTAAACTACCCATAAATAAATTTGCACCTACTTTTCAAAACGTAACAAGTGTAGCTCGCAATCGCATATGTTTTTTGCAGGAACGAAGACCAAACAACCAAAGTCTTCGGTATATCAACAATCACAACGCAATAATCCAAACTAAAACTGTAATGCTTGATGATAGCTTCTCGAATTATAAGATCAACAAGATATTAGGTTTTTAGTGAATCAAACAAGAGACAAAAGGAAGGATCTGGAGCAAACCTTTTGAAAATGATGAATCCGACGCTGATTTATGTCCCGGTGACCACCGTCGTTTGGTGAACGACAACAATGGAGAAGGTTTAAAGGGGCACCTAAATGGGCTACAGATCAGTTGGCTATTAACTTGTTAAGGGCTACACAAGGGTATCCAAAATAAATGGGCAGTTGATCCGTCAATAATATTTGTATTTTCTAAATATTTCAGTTAGTTCATTTCATATATTGATTTTTTTTCATTGATTAAACCTATTCAAAGTTTTTAGAGGAATATTTAAAGATTGAGATATTTCAATGTGTTTGGCTCGCCCATTTTTAATGATTCACAAGGATCATCCATTCACATTTAGAGATATCCAAAAGCACCACCCATTGAACATCTAGAACAATCTAGAGATGTCACATTAGTTACTTGAAAATTCTTCTAGAATTAGTATTTTACCCGCCGCTATGCGGCAATAATGGATTTAAGTAGAGGTGAACATGGTACGATATCAATTTTTTCCTCTAAACCGTGTACCATACCAACTACAATTGGTATAGAAAAATTTCTACCGGTTCCATACCATGGGCGGAGATAGCAGGGGGGCTGCCGGATGCTTTGCCCCCTGAATCTCCTTTAAAAGTCCAAACTATAGTATAGATCAAGAAAGGATGTATGTATAATTTTAAGTCCACATAGGTTTTCTGTGATGCAAAGCAGTATATAGAAAAGTAATAGGGTTATGACTATAAGTAAAATTGAGGCCCACAACTAAAATCTCATAGACTTTAGTACTTCAATCATATTTTAGTTATCGATTTACCTTCATTTAGTTTAATTCATTTAATTTAATTAGTTTAATTATGGCTCTTTTAACTGCCAATTAACCAATATATTATATAAGTCCTATATATGTAAGATTTTTTTACACTATCGTCCAAGACCTTTTTCGGACACAATATAAGCCCCCGTTATCCTCAAATCTTGGCTCCGCCCCTGTTCCATACCAAGTATACTTGGTACTAATATGTTTGGCTACCAATATGTTTGGTTGGTACAAATTAGTAATAGTATACGTCAAATCCTATTATTTTTCTTTGTAAGATTTAAAGATAAGATAATACTTCGCGTAATTTTAACTATTAGTGAAGAAACTAGTTATGTAGTTCATTTAATTGTTAAAAATATCTAATGAAGTACCATTAAAGTAACATTTTAATTTTGTAATTTAAGTGGTAGTAAATATTAACGAATGCGGCTAAATGACTTATATCATGGTCTTAAAACTATAAACACTAAATACAATTGACAATTAAAATATACGATTTTGTGTGTGTGTGCGTGTGTGTGTGTGTGTATATATATATATATACACACACACACACAAACATACACACATACATACACACACTTACACTTATAAATGAATTGGTTGGTACGGTATTACCATGATATTCAAATTTGTGTACCATTATTGTACAAAGATTCCTCAATTAGTACAATACTACCAACCAAACATGTTGGCTACCAAACATATTGACTATCAACTTTCTTGGTTCAGTTGGTAATATGGTTGGTTTTCCTTGATACAATTTTGACAACCCTAGATTTAAGCAGTAGAAAGTTAGTTTCTATTTGTTGAAAGTAGACGAAAATGTTATTTCTATTTTTATTTCAATTGAGTATATAAATCTTTTGATACTACATGTATCATTTTTGGTGAAAGAAAATACATCGCTATTTACCATTTTTGGTGAAAGAAAATGCACTACTATTGCTGTTAGAAAACATAGTAGCTTGCTACTATATTTGGTAATAAAAAACAAAATACATTGTTTTTTTTATCAAACATCGTAGTAATAAGCAAGGTTCTAAATGGCGTGAGGCGTGGCGTGACGGCCAGACCAAGCCTCAAGCTTAACGAGCCATGACGTTTTTCAAGGCGTGATGTTAAGCGGCGATTTTGTATTAATTTATAATTATATTACCACATAAATATAAATTTATATTAAATATAACTACTTTTTAAAAGTGTTATATCAACAACTAATAACAAAAAATTAACAAAAAAATACAATATTTGTATCTCCGATTAGAAAAAACATAATAAAGAGAAAAAACGTGTCTCAAACGAAAAAACACGCGTCATGCCTAACATCAACGTTATGAGACTTTTCGTAACGGCAAAAGTCACGTCTCACGTCATGGCACGCCTTGGCGCGGCCATAGCCCACCTTTTAGAACATTGGTAATAAGTATAGAAGTACTATGTAAGTTGATAGAATACTTAAAATGATAGTAGTTTATTGTTTTCGTATTGATATTACATTTACTTTTTTGCTATAGAAAAATGCATTGCTATTGGTTTTCACAAAAAAAGTATTTTTACAGAAAAACGATGCGTAATCATGTAGTTAATAGTGTGCTTACTGATATGGATAAATGTGAATGAATTGTTATATCTGGTAAGGAAAAAGAAAGTTGGTGGACTCAAAATGGAAAATAAGAAAAGTGGAAGGGATGAAAAGCAAAAGAAAGGGCCACCGATCTAGAACATGTATAATGCGTTCATTAATTCGCATTTTTATTCTGTGTAAACACCATCTCAATTGCATTTGATCAAAATATTTGTATTACATATTTTACGTGTTAGACATCATTTATTGATTTTTTTATATCCTACATGCACCATCTTTATTTCAAGTAGGAGTGAGTATCGGGACCAAGTAGCTGCTTTTGAAATCAAAATTGTTCCAGAACTACTGGTTTTGAATATGGAGTCGAATCGATGTGAGTGGGTTCAGTTTCGGTTTCTAAAGTGTGGAAGTAATTGAGAGTTGTTCCAGTTTTGAGTATTATTATTATTATTATTATTATTATTATTATTATTATTATTACTTTTTAGAACCGTTAATATCTGTTGGACTAGTTTTCTACTAAAGATATTTTTTAATTAAATATATAATTACTTAATTTAACTCTTTCTATATATAAGATTATAGAATGTTGAGTTGTTTCCTTCTAGTTTTTTTTTTTACCATAGAAATTTAATTTCTTTTGTTGTTATTATATCCAAGTATTCCATAATTTAGTGTTGTAGCATGTGTTGTTGAAGTACAACACATATTTGTTATTGAGTTTGTATTTATACTACAATATGATTGTTAGTATACATATTTGTATGATGTATTTGGCATTGTATATCCCAATGTATTTACGATGTATTAGGCCCAATCCAATTTGTATCTTGTATTTATTGTGATTGATTAATGATATGAGGGGCATGAAAGATTATCACGTTGACATGGTATCAGAGCAACAATACCATCGTCTCCCTCATCACATTCAAGTGGCTTTTACTTCACTAATTTCAGAATTGATCAATTGACTCTCATTCATCTCTCATGTAACATCCCAAAAATATTTAGATAAGTCTCATGTTTAAATATTTATATAGAATTGTTGTAAAGATCAGATCCATAGTTCTAGGATCTGATTGTTATGCTTGTTACTTGTAAATTGTTTCTATATAATGAGAATATACCCACAGGGCTATTCACACCAAAACCTATTGTTTAACTTGGTATCAGAGCCAAGATCCTTTTCTTAAAACCCTAAAATCCCCTTCCGACTCCTTGTTCTTTTTGAACGAGCATCTCTAAAATGACTACACCAGTCAAATCCTCCACCATAGCCACTGCCATATCGTGCAAATTGACACGCACAGATTTCTTGCTTTGGAAAGCTCAGGTCATCCCTATCCTTCGAGGAGTGCAGCTCTTTGGGCACCTCGATGGGACCACACCTGCACCAGAGGCTACAATCACTAGTGAAACTAGTGCTACCGATAAAGAATCTCCATCTGTGATAAAAAAATCACCTAATCTGGAGTATCAAACTTGGATGATCCAAGATCAGGCGGTAATTGGAGGGCTGTTATCTTCCATGACTGAAGAGGTTCTCCCTCAATTAATTCGAAATAGCAACACGACTCATGAATTGTGGACCACTCTTCACACTATGTTATCTTCCCAACACCGAGGCAACTAAATCCAGATTCGAACACAATTGTCAACTACCAAGAAGGGAGACATGAGTATAGCTGAGTACTACCAGAAGATGAAAGGGTTTGTCGATACAATGGCAAATATTGGACAACCCATGAATGATGAAGAAGTAATCGGGTACATTCTAGCCGGATTAGGACCCGGTCACAGTGACATCTTTACAACCATTATAGTTCTGAGCGACGAACGAAATGTAACATTGCCTGAGTTTTACTCTTATTTGATTGCTCATGAAGCCCAATCTGCAGCTATGGGAAATACAATCGAATTCACTTCATCAGCAAACAATGTGACTTGCCCAGAACCCAGTGCACCTCGTCGCAACTTTAACAACACTAATGGCGGAGGATATCACACATCCAACAATCATCACAGAGGAAATTACAGAGGCAGTGGCGGTAGAGGACTTGGCCGTGGTCGCAGAAGAAACAATGGGCCACGGTGTCAAGTTTGTGGAATACAGGGTCATACAGCCTTAACTTGCAGAAACAGGTTCAACCACTCTTACCAGGCTGATGAATTTCGCAGTGGAAATAGTGCAACAACAGGAGGCTATCATCCTGATAGTGGCTGGTTTATGGACTGTAGCGACGTAAATTTCCAAAACAATTTTTCATTTTTAAATCATACTTTCAATCACACGATAATCACAAAACATAATGTATCCACTGTGTCATAATAAAACATGTCCCAGAATCTCAATAACATAAACTCTATAAGTGTGTACGGATCATGCTGGTGCCTTCCCACGATCATCACTAGTACCTGAAACACATAATATAACAACTGTAAGCATAAATGCTTAGTGAGTTCCCCAAGATACCACATACAACACATACGCCTTTCCAGGCCATAACTCTGTAGGATCTTCCGATCCATGTGTCTCAGGGGACTTCCGTCCCGAATCCCGGTAGACCTTCCGGTCCTACCTGTATCGACCTTCCGGTCCGTAACCACTTGACCTTCCGGTCCATATCATCTTGACCTTCCGGTCCATATCATCTTGACCTTCCGGTCCTTATCGTACATAACATACATAACACATACATATCACATAACAACATACAACTCATACATCTCATAGCATATAAGACCTTCCGGTCACACATAGGTACCCTTCCAGGTACAGTATAGTGAGAAGACTCACCTCAATGAAGTCGGATAAACTTTTGTGCTCAACGTCCCGACTTAGCCTCCTCCTATTATTCAAATAACATCCCCGATCAATATTCTCTCGTGATCTCATCTCTACAGATTGGGTAGAAGGCTATTCTACCCTACCCTGAACTCTCTTGATAGTGAGAAGACTCACCTTAATGAAGTCGGATAAACTTTTGTGCTCAACGTCCCGACTTAGCCTCCTCCTATTATTCAAATAACATCCCCGATCAATATTCTCTCGTGATCTCATCTCTACAGATTGGGTAGAAGGCTATTCTACCCTACCCTGAACTCTCTTGAATCAGTCTTGACCAGAACCCTAAGGTCAACGAAAGTCAACGGTCAAACTTTGACCCGACTCGTCGAGTGCACAAGGGCGACTCGGCGAGTCCATGCGGGTCCTCTGAATCCTTTCAGCCTCTCTTGGCTCGTCGAGTCATCCTTCCACTCGACGGGTTACACCTGTCACGAATCGTGGGGCAACCCCGACTCGACTCGTCGAGTCCACTTATGGACTCGGCGAGTTGCTCCCATAACAACTCTCAAATGACCTTATGAGGTCAGATCTGCTTCTCTAAACTATAGATCTGTCCTTCAAGTGCTCAAAGGTCACGTAAAGGTGCAACCTTTACGTGCATGCAACCCACATCAAGTCATAAATGGAGAAATAACTCTAAAAATGGCAACCTAGTCTCCAATCCTCCATGAACAAGCATAAAGCAGAATGGGAAAGGTTCTCTGGACCTCTATGGGTCCAGATCTGAGGTCTAACCCAACAAGGGACCATAACCTCAACCTTTCAAGCCTAAAAAGGTTTATAGAAAACCCTAAATCATAGATCTTAACCCAAAACAGAAGGGAAGTTCGATTTGATACCTCAATAGTGTAGATCTGAACTTGAAAACCCTGGATCCACAGCTCCCTTGACCTCCTCTTGTTGGAAACTATTTCTCTTTTGCTAAAACACACAAGAAATGGTGAATTAGCCTTCCTCTTGCACCACAAACGTTCTCTTTCTCTCTCTAGGGTTTCTCAGGGGTGAAGTGGCCGCAATGGAGGCTATAAAGGCCTTTAAATAGGGCACATGCCCCGAGAATTAGGGTTTCACTTAACAGCGTAGACTCGCCGAGTCCACGCATCGACTCGTCGAGTCCTTCATTAAGTCAGACCAGAAATGCGCGATCCCACTCGGCGAGTCTGAGCGCCTACTCGCCGAGTCCCTCTCTAAAATTCAATATAAATACTTAAAATAAGATACATGGGAATCCGGATGTTACAATTCTCCTCCACTAGAATCAAACTTCGCCCTCGAAGTCCTGATCGGCAAACAACTCTGGATGCTGCTCCCACATCTCCAACTCCGGCTCCCAGGTCAGCTCGGACCCTTTCCGATGTTGCCACTGGACCTGCACCAGGGACACTTCCTTGTTCCTCAGAACCTTGATCTTCCGATCCCGGATCGCGATTGGTCTCTCAGCATAATTCAGGCTCGCATCCACCTGAATATCCTCCAGCGGTACCACCGCCGATTCGTCGGCTATACACTTCCTCAACTGAGACACG